CATATTAGAACCGTTTATTTATTATTAAAAAAATAATAACTAAATTATAGCGTTTTTGCGATTAAATTCGTAAAAATTTTTTTTTTTATCATTTTTTTTTGACTTCAGAAAAGACACAATTCAATTGTTTTAAGGAAGACTTCAAATTAGCTAACAAAATGAGGGAGATTTTTTTTTAATCCCTATTCGAATAAACATCTGAAGAGTGGCGTTGAAAAGCAGAAACACGTAAAGCAAATAACATAACAATAATAATGTGTATATAAAAGCGTTCGAACAAGACCCGCGATGAATAATTTAGTTTTCGTGTAAAATCAAGACTTACAGATTAGCACCTAGAAAGGAAGATTTCCCATTTCGAAGACACGACTTTTTTGTGTAGAGTGTAAATTCGTAAAATACATGACAACAAAATAAAAACAAAAAACAACAATTAATATTGGCCACGTTATTAGGATAACACTTTTTAAAATTCATTCATTTTCTACAAACTAGGAGAATTATTAATTATCAAACAATTATATTTATGTACGGTTAACAAACGAAAACAAAAGTCGAAGTAAAAATTGATACGAAGATGGAAGTACATTGTTTTTTGCACCTAATTGACACAANATGATTATTTATTATTATTAAGTATTACATATTAAAAAGTCCTTTGATATTTCCGACAAATCTCACTGAAAAAGATTAGAAAAAAACAATCGTAAGTCCGACATGCTTCTAAAACAAGACGTGATCATTTCAGTGTCTAATTCAACGCCACACAAAAGTTGTGCCAAAAACAAACAAACAAAACAGACAATAACGCAACAAGACAACAGAAAAACACAAATGTGAACAGTAGCAATGTAGTAAATGCGAAACAAAAAAAAAAAACAGAAGAACAACGCGAAAAATAAAACAATAGTTAGAATAATAAAAAACACAAAGGCAAATACTCATCACAAAAAAACAAAAAAAAAAAACAGAAGAACAACGCGAAAAATAAAACAATAGTTAGAATAATAAAAAACACAAAGGCAAATACTCATCACAAAAAATTGGACGGAAGAAATGAAGGAAAAAGTGCAAAACACATGCCAATGCTAAACACACAGTATATAGCGAAAATTAAGGCATTACAAACTTCAATTGAATATTAAGATTGGCTAAGTAAACGTAACTAATAAGTGTAAATTAAATTGTAAAATGATGTACAGTGTGTCCCAAATACGTGAAAAAACATGCCGTTTGTGACGCACTGTATTTAACAATAAAAAATGAGAAATTTAGAGTTTTCGTTATGAATTCAGCAACAATATTTTGTTTTAAGATCAAAGAATTATTTGGACGGAATAACCAAGTAAATAAGTAACTAAAAACATATACAAAATACTATAAATGCAAGTGCACATAGACGACAGTACTGTGCTTAATATTGACAACACTTACTGGATGTTATAATGATTAATAGTTAATCTTCAGTATGTGGCTAATAAAAGAAGAGAAAAAAAAATGTATATACAGCCTGTCCTTTACAACTTTAAAACAAAAAAGTCCAAAAAATTTAGTAGGTAAAGGTCTCGATTACTGTGATTTCGTATTATTTTCGACATTAAGACGACAGATCATAATAAAAATTAAAAAAATAGTTGTTATAATACAGTTTTAATATTTGCTGTATGTTGGGTTGCCTATCTACTCAATTTATTACAGAAACGTAAACTACTATCCCTACCTGCATTTATACGGAAAAAATATGATTCAGATATGAATATTCATCAATCCACTTCAATGAACCCCAATTACAGGTCAATATAGGAGTTTGTTTTAAATTGTCGCCTCCGCCAAAATTTTAAATAAAATTTTTTATTAATCACTGATATTGTTTGTATATCTCAATGAATGTTTTATTTTCTACGTTAAATGGATAAAAGTTCATTAACTACTCCTAATTAATAACTTAATACATTGCTAGCAGCTCCAAATAAAAGTTTGCAATCAACCAGATGTCTTTAAAAATATTACTAATT